ATTAACTTCATTCCAAAGGATATTCTGCTCTAAAAAATGATCTCTCGCGGCCTCAGCGTTAACAATTATCGTTTTTAGATGTATCAATGCCACGAATGCTATTGTACCGTGTGCTATTTATAAATTCTATTACAGCAATTACGGTCGTGGGCAATTGTAATTAATATCTTCAATTACAAACCATTAATTGGCAGCTCGCTTCATTATATATGGATAGTTTCTTTTTTTTTTTTTCATTTTAATAAGGTCATCTAAGTGTAGATAACATTGTTCGAATTCGCGTACAACGTATATATCGATGAAAACTAAACTAGCATGAGAAAGGCAAAAAATCGTTCAGCTATGATCGACGGCGGTTCTGTTTAAAGGATTGACTAATAATTTGCTTGTAACTCGTTATTCAATGCGACCTCAGTTTTTCAAGCAAGCAGTAACGAGAAACGTGGCAACCTCGGTTGACGTACAGTGTCGTGCAAACGTATTACGTACCACCACGATACTAGACGCAGGTGTAACTAGGGCGCGAAGCTGAACACCCATTTCGCGATATAGTTGCATGGTGTTATGAAAACAGGTGCAGGTATACTTGATTCCTGCTCTACCACGTCCAGTTTAAATCGACCGGCCTGTTGTTGACACACCATCCCTGGTGAATCATTCCAAGGATAAAGGAGATTCAGACAAAAGGCCGGCTAGCGGAAAATAAATACTTCGAAACGTTACCCTTGGAATCTGTTTTGTTGCAGCATTGTCAAAGTAATCGACCCCTTATAAACATGACGTGTATAAAAAAACAATAGAACACAAAGAGGGTTGAAATATTCGTCATTGCTGAGTAAATTATACGGCTAGAGTGATGTCACGTTGATGACGTTACAGTAATTAATATATAAGATCTTTTTCTATGTTTGCTACAAAGCTGTTCATTCGTCTCGATTAAACAAAAATGGAATGAAGCGTGCAGACGTTGTTATAATATTTTTGAAAAGGAAATGTCGTCATTGTTCTCCGGGAAGATTTCTACGATTCCGGGTCCTTGAGCAATTAACGAAATCAAACGAGTGTGCCACGCTATATCTGCATGAAAATCAAAACTCCAACGAGTTGGCAAAAGTGCAAACTGCTGTCAGAGCTCGACATTCTTGTAATGGATATATCCTGACGACCACGCAGTCGTAATCCACACACGTAATAAAAGGAACAACGGATGGGGAGTACAGGGAGAGGCAGCACGTTGCACAGTCATCACCGTTACACGAATGCGCAAGCGCACGAAGATCGCATACACGTTTTTCATACGTAAAATAAAAATTGATAATTCGTATTACCTAAAATTACACCGATCGACGATTAAAAAAAAAATACGAGATGTAACATAACATGCACTACATAAAGTTAACTACGTAAAATTTTGTTTCTACGTATACTAACCAATCATAACAGCAATTAACAAGTTGCCACCACTCCTCAAGCTTGTTCACAATAGGAATTCACACGATTCAAAACGTACGCAGTGTTTTGACTAGCCAAATTTCGAAAATGTTCTTCCATTGGCAGGAAAATTTCTTATTCAATCGTCTCCTTTTATTAATAAAATGCTTACCTAACCCTCTAACAGACTAGACTAGACTAGACTAGGCAGTAAATCGGAATCGTAGAGATCTATATTATCGACCAACATCTAGAAGCGCGGGAAGTTTGAACAAAAGCAAACCCAAATGCACCACTTATCTATTCGTTCCGAGTTAATAAATGATACTTATTCCACTAATAAATTAGCAAATTATTAGCATTATAAAAGATACTCCCTATAAAACTATTTAATCAAACCTTCCCTATAGCATGCTACCATCATC